GGGCTGGAGAGATGGCTCAGTGATTAAGAGTACTGGCTGCTCTTCCAGAGGTCCTTATTTCAATTAATTCCCTGCAACCACATGGTGGCTCACAACCATCTATAGTGGGATCTGAAGCTCTCTCTGGCATGCATGCAGACAGAACACTCATACGTTTAAAATAAACAAATAAGTAAATATTTGTAGGCATACAGATATACAATTATACCTATTTCTATGTAGACTTTATCTCTTTGTAAGAAAAAATTTATGCCAATCCCTCATAGTCACTTTCAGAAAACAAGCAAGAAACCTTCCCAACTCAATTTCTAAGGCTAGTATTAAATCAACAACACAAAGCAAATGTTACAACTATAGATAACACCTCATAAACACAGATTCAAAGAAAATAAAAACCTTGCCAGACATACAGAAGCTGAGAGGACTTACTACCATAGATCTACACTACTACAAACACTAAACTAAAGGGAAATAACAGATGTATGACTCCACAAATGAGTGCACAGCATAGTAAGTAATGATGTAAGCACATATACAAGGTGTTTTAAATCATCATCTAAAGACTACAAAGGTGGTTAGGCAGTCAAGAGCACTGACTTAATCTTGAGAAGGACTCCAGTTTGGCAGTTACTCTGGCAGCTTACAACTGCTGAGTTGCCTGTAACTCCAGTTCCAGAGGATCTGACTCCCTTTTCTGTTCAACATGGGCACTGGACCATACATAACATACATGCAGACAAACACTTATCATCATAAAACCAAAAATAAAGCAGTATCTAAATCTCCTTACAGCACAATTAGATGATATTAGGAAAACAAAAGGACTTCCAGAAATCGCCTGCTCCATAAATGCCACAAAGACACTGGCAAAACTGGCAAAATAAACTTCAGTACTAGCAGACCAGCCGGAAGCTTGCACCACCATATTCTTCTTTCTTATCAGAGCAGCTAGGTCAGTAGGCATATTGGCACTTGTCTCATGCTCTTGATTGCCTCTTCTCACTCACTGCCATCGAGACTGTGGTAACAGGTGTGAAACATAGACTGGACTCCTTTATAGGCCCTACTTGCACAACTGGCATTGTTTAGCCTATCTGGAAGTTCTTTGGAAAATGCCACCCATCAAGCTTCTTTTGTGTCTTTCCTGAGATCTCTCCTATGTGAGCATCTTTTTCTCTAGAGACATTTGTCAAAAATAAGCAGAAGCTAAAAGTACAACTCAGTAACAGAACACTTGCCTCACATGTGTGAAGTCTTAGGTTCAGAAATAAAAATGCAAGTTGCTTAACATTGCACCTGTTGGAGACAGTGAAGCATTTAGGTCAAATAAGAAGCCTGTTGCCAGGCAATGGTATGGTGGTGTACATCTGTAATCCCTGCATTCAACTGTGTGAGGCAGGATGATATTGAGTTTGAGGCTTGAAGACAAGACTGTCTTCAAACAATAAAAACAAAACAAAACAAGACAAAACAACAACAAAACCAAATTAACTATCCAGAAAACTTACACTTCCATGTGGGACTCTAAAAGGCCAAACACAGTGCACACCCATGACTGCAGACACTCAGCAAAGATTAAAGTTGTAAGCTCCTATCTCTGACTGGTATTAAGGCTCAAAGAAAGTAGGAATTAAGGTATAAGGTAGTTGTAAATTACCAGAATTTTAAAGGTTGTAGCTAATAGTAATCCAGAGCCTTTCATTAAATGAGAGAAAAAGAATGGAAGACTTACTGGTTTCTGGTGTCCCAGAACCACCCAATTACCACACGTGAACTGGCTGGATCTTTAACTGTGTGGAGACAGAAGCCAATAGGCATCCCTAACAAGATAAACATACCCAGCCCAGAAGGTACCACTGGTGTATCTGCATCAGCACCTTAGACTTAGATTCCAGGCAAGAAAAGTGTGACCATCTAGCACATATTGAATAATGAGAGGGTGGGAAAAAAATATCCCCTCCCCCACAAAAAACAAGCCAATCGAGGGCTGTGAAAAATGCAAGGAAGGGCTGACACCTACTGGCGACCCGGCACAAACTCAACCCAAAAGGTACTTGAACTCCACTGGAAGTCCACAAAGAGTTTGAGCTTGAACTGAGACTGCAAATTGCACTTCCTTGAATGGAGCATAACAGGGAGTGAGAAGAAAGATTAAAAATCCATCCCACCATGAAAGAACTAGTGGCCAATGCTATGATATGCTTTTATCTACTACTAATTCACTTCCTGAAGTGTTTTAAAACCTGCAACCCTCCATAAATGTCTCTGAGTGGTTTTGGCTTCATTTTATATTGCTTAAGTTTTATGAGTATTTTGTTTCTGTGCCCATGCTAATGTGTACTCTACTATTCTTGCTCTCCACAACCAATCCTTCCCCTTTCATTTCTACCTCATTTCCTCTCTACCCGCCCCCACCCAGTTCCCTCCACTTTGGGCTTTTAATTTTAACACCCCACAGTTTTATCTTTAAGATCTGTAAATCCTAATACCACTATTTCACCTCCATCTACCTCCCTCTGTGATGTTTTCTGCTCAGATGATATAGTACTACCTATCCTCATTCAGGTTCTGTCCCTTACATCCCTGACCTTAGTAGGATCATAATCTAATACACATTTTTATACTCCATCAGTTACTGCAAGTAAGGTAACTTTTTATTTATTTGTTTTGAATTTCCAAGCTAACTTTAATTCTCCCAAAACATATGTCAATAGTAAATGCTTTTAAGACATTATACTAATTTAGCTACTGACAATTTCTGAATTTACTGTATTTTCCAAAACATGGGTAACGTAGAAGACTTAGAAATGTGTGTTGTAATGACAGCTTTGCATTTCAAATTTCTGAGCTTTAGGTTCAATGGCATCAAAAGTTCTTTTTACTTTAGGAATGCTGCGACTAAAACAGCACTGCATGGCTAAACAGGCCAATTTACTTTCTACAAGCAGGGTAAGTGCACACCAATGTCACAGACTTTCATAAAAATCATTTTGCTGACCCACTGAAGACTTCTTACATGCCAGGGGGAAAATATCACATGTAGCCCTCCAGGCTGAGGACACATGCCGCTTATGTGCAAGGACCTGGGTTCCAGCAAGAACAGCAAAACCAAACTGAACTGTGTAACACAGGGTCAAGGTGGTGCCAGCTCTGTACACACCAGACTTCACTGACCCATGACTTTTCTGGTCAGCTCTGCTCAAGCCCCCCAGCTTAAACTAACAGGATAAGCAACACTCCTCAGGCCAACATAACTCAGTCACAATCCAGTCAGGCCTTATGTCTTTGTGCAAGATTTTATTAAATGTCTTTACAGGAAAACATCCAGCCTCCAGACACAGCTGCCAAGACCCTGTTATGGTGTAGGCACTGGCTGGGGCATGGCAGGTGGCTCTGGCTTCCCACCCTTCTGCTGTGAGATGGGGGTGGTGGGCAAGATCTCATCCTTAGGTTCCATAATGCTCACATGATCAGGCAGAGGCTTCTTGGGGCCGATCTTACCACTTGGGTCCCAGGGCAGCATGATTTTCACTTTGATGCCCAGCACACCCTGTCTGAGGAGTACATGGCGAATGGCAGTATCAACATAGTAGTTAACAGGGTCTCCACTGTGGATCATCAGCCCATCCACAAGCTTCATGGACTTGGCTCTCTCTCCTCGGAGCTTCCCAGACACCACAACCTCACAGCCCTCAGCCCCACTCTCCATTGTAAACCGAAGCACAGTAAGGTAACTTTTAAAAATGTCACAATATTTGCTCAGTGGGCCCAAATCCACTTCTGTAGTTAATTTTCTACTCTCAGAATGGTGGTGGAGGTATGCCCTGCTCCCTGATCATATAAACTGAGGATTTATCTATTGAATATGTGCCCAGCCCATTGGACCCCAAGGTCAGAGAACTACAAGAACTTCAGTTAAAAAAATACTGCTTAAAAACAAACTGAAACTCAAGAAACGAAAAACTCACTAACAAATTTGAAACAGTAGAAAGCTTCACCAACAAAATAGATCAAGAAAAAGACAAAATATCAGGGGCTGGAAGACAAGTGAGATCTGTGGTTCTCAACCTGTGTCTTGACCTTTTGTGGGGGTCAAATATCAGATCATCCTGTATATTGGATATTTATATTGCTATTCATTAACAATATTAGTATCGAAATTAGTTATGAAGTAGCAACAAAATAATTTTATGGTTGGGGATTACCACAACATGAGATCTGTAATTACAGGAAATACAAGTATTAAAAATTCAAAATTATACCACCAGATGGTGGTGGCGCACACCTCTAATCCCAGCACTCAGAAGGCAGAGGCAGACAGATCTCTGAATTCTAAGCTAACCTGGTATACAGAGCAAATTCTAGGATAGCCAGGGCTACACAGAGAAACTGTTTCAAAAAACAAAATATTCAAATTATACATACAAGATAGCCATAACCTTCCTATAATGTGGACACAAGAGGCACACTTTATATATGAAAACAGAAGATGGAAACTATATAAAACATAGTCAAATGAAAGATACAACGCCTACATTTATAGCAAAGATAAAGACTTTAAGACAAAATTTTACTAAAGATAAGTAAAAAATACTGTTGTATTTGAAGGGAAAAATAGTTTCGTGTTGTTTTCCTTTGCTTTGTGAGACATGGTCTCCCTAGACAGCTCTGGAGGCCTAACCTCACTAGGTAGCCCAGGCTGGCCTCAAACTGTGATGATCCTCCTGCTCTGCCTCTAGTCCTTAGGATTACAGACAGGAGTCAAGTGCACCTGCTTACTGGAGAAATAGTTTTACAACAGGGTTGGAGGCTTCAATATTCAATTCTTTTTTGGGGGGGTAATGGGGGGAGCTCACTATGTAGCTCTGACTGTACTAGAACTCACTCTGTAGACCAGGTTGGTCTCCAAGTCACAGAAATCCTCCTGTCTCTGCCTCCTGAGTGCTGGATTGAAGGCCTTCACCACCACCTGGCTGTTGCTCCATTCTTAATTTTTTTTTGTTTGTTTGTTTTGTTTTTTGAGACAGGGTTTCTCTGTGTCGCTTTAGAGCCTATCCTGGCACTTGCTCTGGAGACCAGGCTGGCCTCGAACTCACAGAGATCTGCTGGGATTAAAGGCATGCGCCACCAACGTCCAGCTTAATAATGTTTTAATAAAACATTGAAACAGTATTTACCAATAAGAAAATAGAAACTAAATACTATAAACTGACAAGACCTAAAAGACATATAGCACATTCTATCACACAATAGAATAGGTGTTTTTAGTCTACCTACATTTATAGAATAAGAATCAACAACAGAAAGAAAACTGGAGAACTTGTAAACACAAAAATTAAACATACAGAGGCTAGAGCAACGGCTCAGCACTTGCAGTTCTTGCAAGAGGACCTAGGTTCGGCTCCTAGCACTCACATGGCAGTCCACAATCATGTGCAACTCTAGTTCCAGGGAATCCATTGCCCTCTTCTGGCCTCTGAGGACACTGCACACATGTGGTACTTACATTCATGTAGAAAAACACCTATACACATAAAAATAGATAAAATCTTGTGTGTGTGTGTGTGTGTGTGTGTGTGTGTATGTGTTTGGTTTTTTTGAGACACAGTTTCTCTGTGGCTTTGGAGCCTGTACTGGAACTAGCTCTTGTAGACCAGGCTGGTCTCAAACTCACAGAGATCCGCCTGCCTCTGCCTCCCTAGTGCTGGGATTAAAGGCGTGCGCCACCAACACCCGGCTTTCATATATATTGTGTGTGTGTGTGTGTGTGTGTGTGTGTGTGTGTGTGTTTTGCGAATGAACTTTATAAAGATGTTTATTTACCAGGGAATGGTAACTCATGCCTGTAAATTAAGGAGGCAGAGGCAAGAGGATCACCACAAGTTCAAGGCTCGTCTAGTTGATATAGTGAGTTTCAGGCTAGCCTGGGCTATATAACAACACCCTGCCTCAAGAGAAAAAAAAAGTTTATTTAGCTCAATTTGGGAGATTCAAAAGCATAGCATTGGTATCACAGTTTAAGTGTCAAAAGCAGGAGCACATAAAAGAGGAGATCACACTGGAAACAAGCCAGAGAACAAGTCAGGGCTAGCAATCCTAACAATTCACTTAGAGAATTTGTTTGGGAAACTACATTCCCTTTCTAGGACAGAACCCCCACAAAGACCCCCTAGTACACCCCACCTTTTAAAAGTTCCACCAAACTTGGGACCGAACTCCTAACACAGGAGCCCTTGTGGACTAACATTGAAACAGTACCCTAAACTACAACAACAACAATAGGTAAAATAAGCCATGGGGAAAATGAGAAAACACATGGAGATGAGTGGACAGTAAAACAGTTATGAGGAGCTCTAAGATGGCTCAGCAAATCACTTGTGCCAAGTCTGACAACCTGACTGTGATTCCCAGTAATCACATGGTAGAAGGAGGACACCAACACCCTTTTTTTGGCCTCTACAGACTCCTGCACATATACAGTGCACATAAAACTCACAGAGGTTCATACATACACACATAAATAGGTAAATCTTTTGTAAAAGATGACCTGTGACCTTTCAATAATCCTTTAGCTGTAGACTGAAATACAGAGAGTGATATGAGAACTCATGTCTCACCCTGAAAAGTGCTGAGCCTACCTTCTCTGAATCACCCTAAGCTCTTAAGGAATAAAGCAGGATGCTCCAAATGGAACACCCTTAGTGTTCTAGCTGTTATGTCATAGGTAAGTAGTCACTTGGCCCAATTTTTGGTTTTCTCGAAAAAGTAATAGCCAACAGAGAATACTTACCAAGCAGAATGCTATTACCATCTCACTAAATCCCATGATTGCTGTAACTTCCATTTAAAAATGAATGAACACCTATACAGAGAAACCTTGTCTTGAAAAAACAAAACAAAACAAACAGAAACAGTTTGAACATGCCAAGTGGTGGTGGTGGTGCACGCCTTTAAATCCCAGCACTTGGGAAGCAGAGGCAGGCAGATACCTGTGAGTCCAAGGCCAGCCTCATCTACACACAGAAACCCTATCTTGAAAATCAAAACAATCCATAGGCAGGATTCACATGTATAAAAAAAAATCAAAACAAAACAAAAAAAAATGAACTTTAAAGAAAAAAACTTATTGAGGGATAACTAACTTTGGGAACAAATTTAAAGATATAAAAAGTACTTGGGCCCGGGTGAGAAGAACAAAGACATATTTCACAGGATTGTTACAAGTATTTAATATAATTGTTACTTTTTCTTGTAACTATGACAAAATACCTGACAGAGTATCTTAAGCGAGAAGAGGCTTGTTTTGTTCAGTTTCTGCATCTATAGCTCAGTCCATGAGAAGGAACACATCGCTGTTGGGGAGGCTGGAGCTTGCAGAGTGCTTAAAACATCTAGAAAAGAAAGGTGTAAGGGACCAGTCTGGCTTTGGTGGCTAATGCCTATAATCCCAACACTTGGGAGACTGAGGTAGGACTGCCATGAGTCAGAGGCTAGTCTGGGCTACATAGTGAGCTCCAGGTCACCCCGAGGAAGTGTGGAAACCCTGTCTCAGAAAAGAAAAAGGTGGAGGAAGCAGAAGAGGAGCAGCAGACACAAGAAATGGGCCCGTTTAAAGGCCCCTGCCCTGTGACCCACTCTTGCAAATCAGGCTTCAGAAACCCTCAAAACAACACCACCACATGGGTAGCAGGTAATCAAATACTTGAACCTCTAGAGACATTACAGCTTCAATCACAACACTATCTTTGTTGATTTCAAACTGGCAATCCTCCTGTCTCAGCCTCTTGAGTGCTAGATTACAGATGTACATGAAGTAGTATTTTCAAACTATTATAATAGTGCCCAACACATAAATGCCCATTAAATTTTTTAGACTATGAACATGCACATGTGTGTACAGGCTGGAGGACAACCTTAGTTGTCTTCCTCAGGAACATGTTCCTCTCCTCTGAGATAGATAATCTCTTATTCTGGAGCTGGCCAACTACCAACTGGGTAGCACATCAAGTCCCAGGGGGTCCTCCTAGCTCCATCTTTCCAGCTGGGATTATAAGAAAGCACCACATGGACAGCATTTTGATAGGTTTTGGAATTCAATCTAGATCCTCATGCTTGCAAGGAAAGCACTTTACTGACTGAGCCACACTCTCAACAGCCCCATTAAATTTTAAGAATTAAAAAAAGATTTATTTATTTTATGTATATGAGTATTCCATCTGTATGCACAACTTTATGTGAGAAGAGGGCATCAGATCCTACTATAGATCATTGTGAGCCATGTGTTTGCTGGGAATTGAACTCAGGACCTCTGAAAGAGCAGCCAGTGCTTTTAGCCACTGAGCCACCTCTCCAGCCCAAATTTTAAGAATTTTCAAATCATACAGCTAAATGAGATTGACTTAATCCAACTGAGTTCCAAAGTTCTAGTTTGTTATATTCTGTTTCATAGTTACAGTTATTACAAGAATTAATGTTCCACAGACTCAAGTAACTTCTTTTTACCCTCCTCAAGTAAGCCTGCATTATAAATTCATCTGCAAGGTCTCAGAGCTCCATCAAGTTTTAAAGGTAGCAACTGACGCTAAGGATGGCACAGTAAACTAGAAATGACATAACCGCAAACTGCTGCTCAAACAGTTCATGCCAATTACCAAGAATATATTAGTGGCTTGTACTGAGCCCACCAAGTAAGAAAATTCTGCTTCCTAAGATAAACATTCCAAG